GGTTCCCGCTCGTCCGATTTCTAGTTTTGCAATTTTTCACTAAGGAGATTGAAGCCTCATCTATAAATCTGGGATAAATCATTCCAGCTCTACTTTTTACACAGAGCTATATTGGGGATTAGAGTGAATAAGATCATGAACCAACTAAATGCCATTTAAGAAAAAATTGAGATGGTAAAAAAATAAGTTAACAAGGCAATAGGTAGAATTCTGTTTTGCAAATGCAAAACTCAGTGAAAACAGTTGCAAAAAGTTCTCTTCAAAAGACTTAAAAAATAGTCTTAACAGGCTCTCACCTAGACTTCGGAAATAGATTCCAGACACATTCCTGCCTCCAGTCTCTCACAGTTGGAATCTCTATTTCACAAACCATCATTTGGACTATAAACAAGCTATTTCTCCTTTAAAAATATTTTAGAGAAATGAAATATTTTCTAAAGGTATAATAACCTCCTTGGCTATATATGGGGGGGGGGGGGCGCTACTGAGATATGGACCAAAGCCAACCACAGCTGAATGGTGGAAACAGCACTGGAGTATGCACAGACCCAGGCTGAGTCTTCGCTCTGAAAATCCCTGGTACTCTCGGAGAAGTAGTTTAATAGCTCTTTGGAGTAAAGTTTCTCTTAGGTACCGCCTCATGTATATGTGTATCCACCAATAAATCAACAGATTTATGGAGCACTGAGCATAAAATAAGTAAATTCATCTATAATTCATAGCATAGTTTCTTCAGTTCTGTGATTACACTGTTCAAATTCTATCGCTATTATTGCCCTAGAAAAGCTCAGTCCCTATTTGCTACTCCGTAATCCACATCATTTGATTTTCCTGGTAAGCCTTCTGTAATTTATGACAACCTCAATAGTCAACTGCCTTCTCATCTTTAAAAGTTCACCTTAGAGGCCATACTTCTAAAAAACCCTCTGTAATTCCTTAATAAGGTGGATATAACATTTTTAAAATTTTATTCATTCATTTTGAGGGGTGGGGTGGGGCAGGGCACTCCCGAACATGAATAGTCTTTATAGTTGGAGAGGTTTTCTTTTTTTTTTTTTTTTTTTTGCTATAGGGCATGTGGCCTTAAGACAGAGAGACAGCGAGATATCACCTCCCAGGGGGATGGCCACGCTGCAATCCCTTCTCCTCCATTCTCCTCTCAAAACCTTGGGCACACATGCACACATGCCCGGTGTGAGTTTAAGCCACTGGGTCCAGGACTCGAACCACGGTCGACTACATGGAAGTTTAGCGACATAGCCATTACGCTAACTGATGGTCCCATGAATAGTCTTTATTGTGTGATACATTTATCCTCAGCAACCAGGATCATGGACACAGGCTTGCGTGCAGGCGTGTATAAGGAGTCCTTGGGATGACAACCTGGGACCTTCCTATAGCTTCAACATCTCGGAGCATCATATCACCACTTTACTATCATGGCTGGCCAGCATTTTGTTTTGCTTAATTAGTAATTTTTAATTAACATAGCAATGGTTACAATGAACTTTTTTTTTAAAAATTTTCTCTAATATGCTGCTGCTTGGAATGATTTTTCAGATATAAATTTTAATTATCTTGGCTGACGCTAGATCATAAGCTTCTGTTAAAAGAAAAGCTTCAGACAAATTTAATTTAGTAGAGTTTAATTGAGGAAAGAATGATTCACAAATCAGGCAGCCCCAGAACTGGTTCTGACGAACTCTGGGAGTGTTGCATGGTCTGATAACATTAATAGACAGAAAAAGGAAAGTGACAGGAAACGGGAGTTAGGGAGAGAAACAAGTGGATTGGTTACAGCTCGGTGTCTCCTGTCCGAACTGTCCGAACAGCTGGAGGTGTGACTGACTGACACAGCTGCTACAACTCCGTGATTTGGCTTTCTGTACAGCAGCAGACCCAGAAGTTAGGTTTTTGGTTCATTCAAGCCCTACGTGATTCATACCTAAGAACTCAAGTACGCGAGTATGGTGTTTTTCTCGGGCCAAATTTAATTTAGTCTAACACTCCTAAGAGCAAGACCTGAATTTTTCTCCTGGTGACTCCTGTCAGGTCCAGCATAGTCCCCAGTGGGACATCTGTCCCCACCAGAAAAAAACACGACACTTTCAGTGGGCTAGGGCTTCCTATTTCCAATTGTCTTGACACAAACTAAGGGTAAAAATAGTGAAGGCACGAGTAGACCAGACGCTGCCCTCTGACAAGGCGCATCCAGCGACGGTCCCGGGAATGTGAATCAATGCGCGGGAGCTTGCACCAGCCTGGCACAGAAACAGTCCCGGTGACCAGAGACTCTGGCCGTGATTAGTACTCAGTTATGAGACAGCACTTCAGAAACACTAGGTGAACCATGCAAAATTCTACCTCAGAGCTGGCAATTTCATATGGTTTGATCTGGTATTTTGCTAGTTTATGTATTATCTGTATGAGCCCCAGGAGGGAAGGCATTTTAGTACATTTCGCTCACTGTTGTACCTCCAGTGTGCAGAACATGACGCCATTCAGCAAATACTTTTTTTTTTTTTTTGAGAGGTTTTTGCTATAGGGCACGTGCACTCGCCAGAAAGACAGAGAGACAGAGTGACCGCAAGTGAGAAAACACTCCCCAGGGGGGATGGCCACGCCGCAATCCCTTCTCCTATTTTCTCCTCTCAGGACCTTGGGCACGCACGCACATGCACCTGGCGTTAGTGTAAGCCACCGGGTCCGGGACTCAAACTGCGGTCAACTACATGGGAGTCAAGCGACATAGCCATTATGCTAACTGCCGGTCCCCCAGCAAATACTTTTTGAATGAATAAGAGAACATACTAAGCACCGACTATTTGCCTTATCCACCTCTCTGTGATTTCTAATTGTTTCCTCACAAACCCTGATTACCGCCTATCTTCCCATGAGAAAACAGGTGAGGTAAAGTGACAGGCCCAAGACCACTCCCTTAGCAACGCTTTCTGCTACGCCATTTCTATTTGTGCTGGATACGTTGTCCAAATCTGGGCTATCTTCTGTCTCTTAAAACACACTGTTTCTACTGAAAATAGTGACAAAGAAATTTCAGGATACAGAAAAAAAGGAAAAGTGGGACACGAGGGAACACAAAGGAGAAAGAGGGACACCAGTCAGTGGGTTGGGAGAAGCCTGTTGTTTCTGGTGAAATATAGTACGAAATACTATCTAAAAATGGCTCCAGTCCTTCAGGTCTCCTGTCTCCTTAGCATTTTGACCCTGACTGCATCACTGGAATTGCGACTTGGGATAGAGAAGAACAGATGGTTTCTGCCTGCAGCCTACACGTGAGCCTTGCTGAGGCCACCGGCCTCTCCTGGCAAGGAAGGGAGTATCCTCACTCCTTTTGCCATTGCCTCTGTGGATGAAACGGGGGGGGCTCCTACTTAAAAAATCCTATTGCTTTAGAAGACTTTTTCAAGGCCAGCAGGTGGTATGGTGACTAAGAAGCTGGACTCCCACATGGCCGACTGTGGTTTGAGTCCTGAACCTGGTGGTTTTCTCTCTCTCTTTCTTTCTAGTGAGCTCATGTGCCCTATGGTAAACTAAAATAATAATAAATGAAATTAAATAAATGATTCTTTAGGAAAAACGAACTTTTTCCTAACATGTGAGTTAGGAAAAGCATATGTGTGGTAGGTAGCTCTACTTAAAATAACTTGATGAGCCAGCTGGGTGCCTGTGTGTGCCTACCAAAAATCCTGAGAGGAGAAATGGAGGAGAAGGGATTGTGGTGTGGCCATCCCCTCTTGGGTGATTTCTCACTTTCTCTTGCCCTCTAAGCACAAGCACCTTAGAGCAAAACTAAAAAAAAAGAACAGGGCATTATATTTTTAGACGAAGGAGGTTTTGAAACTTGGTTGGTCTAGGATCCAAACCTGGTCCTCCCTCAGCCTCAGCCTTCTGCAGGGGCACTCAACTGCTTATGCACTGTGGCTGGGCTCGCCCAGGCTCCTTAATGCTGGGAGTCTCTGGTCCCCTGTAGGGTTTTTCCATGAGTGGACCACTACAATTTCGAATCTTGGTGAAACAGCCTTTCCCTTCATTCTGAAAGAATCAGCTCGCTAGGATATGAACTCTGAGGCAGTCTCAAAATAGTTTCTAAATGTTGAAAGAAGTCAAACGGATGATTTCTCAAACTTTCTGGAGTAAAATGAACAACTGTGGGCTGTCAGAAAACCAAGCTGACACTCCGAAATGACGTGTTCTTTGAATCACAGGGAAAACTAAGTCCACCTATTTTCCCCCTAGAAGTTGTAGTCTAACTCCAGAAGTACTAAGTTGCGAACAGAAAGGGAGAAATCACTCCCCTCCCCGCTGGGGAATGGCTATGCTGCATTCTCCTCCATTTTCTTCCTGAGATTTTGGGCAGGCACTCCACACGTGCCCATTGTGAATTTCAAGCTGCTGGGTCAGGAACTCGAAATGTGGTTGGCCACGTGGGAATCCAACAACATAACCTTTATGCCATCTGCTGGTCCCTCTCTCTTTTTTTCAAAAGAGAGAGCTCATTATTTATTTCTCTTATGAGAAAGACTTCAGGGTGTGAACCCGGGACCTTTGGCATGTGGCTTCAGCCTCAAGAAACACTGCATTACCACTGCGGCTGGCCTCAAATGGCCTCTCTCCCAGTGCCCAGCCCCTGGGTAAGTATGTGTCTTTTTGCAATGAATCCATGGGATACATTCAACATCTTTTCTGGTGCTTCTAATACTAAAATGGCACAGGCCTGGCCTTATAAAAGTCCAGTATTAAACCAGATTTAAAGGAGAGAATGCTTCTTTAGCCTCAGCATAATGTGCATGTGAAGGAGACAGAGCTTCTATCCCTCAGAATGGACGGGTCATTCACTATGTAGAATATCTTCTCCTGGCCTGGATATCAAGATTCCTGGAGAAGCAAATACAACAGGTGGCTGTTTGGGAGCTGGTACAAAATCTAAATACAGCCCTAAGAAGAACATACATAGGGCGAAAAGCACTCAGGATTCTCACCAGTTTGGAGCTTTCACTTTCAGGCAATTGTTTAATACGAACTTCAAGACTGCCATCCTCCTCACTACTGACAGGGTCTGTGCCACTCTGATCCTACGGGACAGTGAAAGAAAATGGCAGAGATGTCATTCTTCACTCACATGACCCTGGACTGTACAGACAAGCAATCATAGCATCGTTTTTTTCTTTTGTTGTGGTGGATATTTGTTCTCTGCAGAAGCCATTCGATCAGAAGCTGTGTGTGTGTGTGTGTGTGTGTGTGTGTGTGTTTCCACATCTATCCCTGCTTCTCCTAGATAGGTTTTTTGGAAAGATGGCCCTTACTCTCTGTCCCAGACGTAGTTCTGACTGTCTGTAGTTCCTCCCATTGTTTTTGCTAACACTTTTGTCAGAAACGGGTATGCCACAAAAGGATTTTTATTAGTTTTGGACAGCAAGACACAAAAAGAGGTTTGCTGGAGACTTTGGAATAGTTCTTCCTTAATCTTAAGAGATTTACCGGAAGTCTCCATATTTTCCAAATCCACATGAGATCATGAAGCTCCAATGGTCATGAGTGGCCATCCCACAACAACAAAGGAGCCAGCCACAGGATGAAGCTGACACTGCGTGGCAGAGCAACAGTGACGGAGAGAACTGGCAACTGGATTGAGCAAGCCTGGAACCCAGCCTTGTCTTTACCTAACTTCTTTTGTTATAAAAAAGAATTATTATTTAAAAAATTTAGCTTAATTAATTAATTCATTAATTTTATTTTGACTTGGGGTACAGGAGAGAGAGAGAGAGAGAGAGAGAGAGAGAGAGAGAGAGAGAGAGAGAGAGAGAGAGAGAGAAACTGCAAGCAAGTCGCCAGGTCCGGGACTCAAACCACGGTCAGCCATATGGGAGTCCAGTGCCCTTAACCACCACACCACCTGCTGGCCCCATCTTCACCTAATTTCTAATGAGCGCTAGTAGATTTCCTCACTGCTTAGACAGTTTAATTGAGTCACTAGAAAAGTCATGACACATTTTTGAAAAACAGAAAAATATGTCCATGACTTTTCCAATGACCCAATAGTAAGCTAATCTATTACCTCCGCTTTCTCACCAAAACAGTTGTTAACTTTCTGCACAAGACTGAACTGCTTGAGGTAAAAGGCTATGTTTAAGTTACTATTATCATTTTGTTTTTTACCCTAGGGTGTGTGTGCTTGCCAGAGAGAGAGAGAAAGAGAGAGAGAGAGGGAAAGTGAGAAATCCCCCCTGAGGGGTGAAGGCCACGCCACAATCCCTTCTCCTCCGTTCTCCTCCTGGGATCTTGGGCATGCACGCAGAAGCATCAGATGTGAGTTTCAAGCCAACAGGTCTGGAACTCAAACCGTGGTTGGCTATGTGGGAGTCCAGTGACTAACCGATATGCTATCTGCTGGCCCCATGTTTAACTTACTTTTGAAACCAATGACCTGGCACTGTGCCCGGCACATAAAAACCACTCAAATACTGGTTGAACCAATGGAATACTTCTTTTTCTTAATTTTTTCCCCTAAAGAGTCCTAAAAATATGTATTTGACATAAATGAGACATCTGGTCATAATAAGCCCCATTAAAATTCTAAAACATGTTAGGCATCTCCTCAATTGAACTAAAGTACATATTAAATGTTATAATTATATTAACTGGAAGCTTCCTTACTTTCTGTGGGTATAAGAGTGGAATACGGTTGATAAAAGCAGCATCTACACTGTACTTATTTGGATTTTTAATTTAAATCACTACTATCTTACTACAAACTTGGGTGAAGTAGTTTGTAGAGAAAATAAATTTTGCTTTGAGGCGGCAGGACAGGTGTATGGCAATAAAATGTGAAGCTCTTGACCTACATGGGAAGGTTCCTGGTTCATATCTGGAGACCTCCCTGAGTACTCTGTGTACACATGTGCCCATGATCCGTGCATGTCATGACCCAGAGCTGGCTGAAGCCGGGGTGGACTATGGTGTGAAGACCCTACTGGGGATACTCCATTCTCTCACTCCCATGTTTCTCTTGCTTATGGAATAAATGAATAAACTTAAAATAAATGTTTATTTTGGGATGTTCGACCTCATTAATAATGTAAGGAATGCAAATTAAAGCAGAGCCATAATAGTCTTTCCAACTATCAAACGGACAACCGAATAGAAAAAGAAAAGTTAGACAGGGCCGGCAAGTGGCGTGGTAGTTAAAGGCACTGGATTCCCACATGGCTGACCATGGTTCAGGTCCTGGACCTGGTGGCTTGCTTTCATGCTTTCCCTTTCTCTCTCTCTGTCTCTGTCTGATCAAATGAAATAATAATAATAATAACAACTGGAAATAAATAAATAATTCTTTAAAAAAAAGAAAAAGAAAAGTTAGTATCGATGTATGTTATAGTGAAAAAGGAACGTTTACATACTATTGATAAAAATGGAAATTAGGATAATTTTTTTTTTTCAGGAAAATAACCCCCCACATAACATATAGATATACTGGGTCGTTGAAAAAGCTATGCCATATTTTTCTATGTTTTTTTTTAATGCAAAAACGCATCATGACTTTTCTGATGATCCAATAGATCGGTATGCAGAGACAAATATTAAGTATGTAGAACAATTTTTCAAAATTGCTTACGAGGCTAGCAGGTGGTTAAGTTGCTGCACTCCCAGGTGGTCAACTGGGGTTCGAGCCCCAGACCAGTGGCTTGAAACTCATACTGGGCATGTGTGCTTGTGTGCCCAAAATTATGAGAGGATAATGAAGGAGAAAGGATTGTGGCCTGGCCATTTACCCTGGGAAGTGATGTCTTGCTTTCTGTCTCTCTGTTTCTGTTTTTCCAGCAAGTGTATGCACACTATAGCAAAAATTTATTAAAAATTAAAATTGTGGGACCAGCAGATGCGAAATGGCTATGTTGCCATATTCTCAGGTAGTCGACTGTGGTTTGAGTCCCAGACTTGGTGGCTTAAACTCACATTGGGCGCATGTGTGTGTGTGCCCAAGATCCCAAGAGGACAATGGAGGAGAAGGGATTGCGACATGGCCATCTTCCGGGGGGTGATTTCTCGCTTTCTGTCTGTTTTTCTGGTGAGTGCAATATGCCCTATAGCAAAAACCTCTCCAAAAAATTTTTTTGCCATAGGGCACATGCACCCGAGAGAGAGAGAGAGAGAGAGAGAGAGAGAGAGAGAGAAAGCATGCTGCCAGATCAGGGACTTGAACGACAGTCAGCCATGTTGGAGTCCAGTGCCTTAACCACCTTGCCACTTGCTGACCCCGAGGCAGTTTCTTTATTCCTGCACTGTCTCATGTAGTCTCTCTAAAAATCCTATGTAGGTAAGTATTTCTTATTCTAACTTATGGATGAGAAAAGTGATTCATTTTAAATTCCTAGCTAGTAAGAGGTAGATCTAGGATTCAAAGCTGGTTAAAACACGGCCATACTCTTGGTAACTAAATGCTTGACCTTACATTAGCCTCCATGGGCTAGTGGTTATAGCAGCTGGATCCCAGGTGGCCAACTCTAGATGGAGGGGCGAATCAGGCAAAAAGGGAGTGGATTGAGAGTGGTCAGCTTTCTAGGAGAGATAAATTTTTAAGAGTGTTCATGGAAAAATAAAGCACAGATTCTGTTCTGAGAACAGGATGATCGTGTGGCAAGGAGCCTTCAAACTGCTCCACTCCCCAGGGGCTTAGCAAACAGAGACTAAAAGAGAAAATAGGTCAGCAGCGTGACTTCTCAAGCACAAGTGTATCTTAGTGGTTTGAGGACCATCTGGCTGACGGATGGTGGCCTATTGACACCCCAGGTGACTCAGCTAATTTGGAGGGCTGAGTGCCCCCTTCCTCTCTGCTGATCCTCCATGCACCTGTCCAAAGCGCCTGTTCAGCCCAGCCTGCTCAAGTAGGACGACTTTCCCCCATGAAGATCATAGCTTCTACAGCAATTGTGTTTTATAGATGAACAAATGGAGGAAGCAAGCCCCATGACTATACAGGGCCTTCACCAAAACCCTGGGAAGACAAGGAGTTCAAGCCCTGCTGAGGTGAATCTCCAGGAAGTTCCAAAATCTTCCACATAAAGCAATGATGGTTATTATTTTGTTCTTATACTTTATTGTTTTCATACCTACTAGCTCTCCATAGTGTTCTTCTACCTGGACAGTGAGAACCTTGGCAATAAGAATGATGTTTTATTTGAGAGTAGACAAGTAATAAAAGTCCTACTCATTAAGGATATTACTGTGAATTGGAAAAACGTTTCTGATTGGATAAATGTTCTGAATTTGTTGTTCCCTAGCCAATTTCCTCACTTAACATGTTCAAAGAGTATATTAGTATGTATATACTATCGTTTTCCTTTTAATTGACTTAAGATGCTACTAAGTAAATTAAAAATGAAGCTATACCTCCTTGATATAATGAAAACTTTTTTTTCAAAATAAAACTTACATTAGTTTAAATGTTGTCATCTTCATATTTCTTAAATCTAATGCTCTTTTCAAGAAAAACACAACATGATTTATTAGTCTCATTGCCAGCCTAAATTTAAAAAAATATTTCTTTCTGTAAAACTATGTTTACCAGATTCTGCAAACTGAATTTCTTTCTTCTACCCCCAATCATGAGCATATTTACTAGGCTACTCAGAATGCCAGAAAGGCAGTGCACAATTAAAGATGAAATGGAAATTATGCAAACAGAACTCCCTGTGTAATCAACCTCTCTGTTCTTTCTGAGGCCTGCTTCATCTTGCTTCATCTTTCAAACAACAAGACTTCTGGAAAAAAAAAAAAAAAAAGAAGTTTCTTGCTTATATAAAGATACTGGAAAGGATCCAGGCTGTCTTGTCAAGAAGGAATAAATGTCTTTCAACTCAAGTACATTTGAGTTCTCAGTAACTCGCAGGAGACCATAGCAATGGCTTCTTCACTGGGTTTCCTTCTTCAAGATATCTTTAAGCTGCTATTGGACCGATCTACCTCAAGTAGAGCCTTGATCAGGCCATTCCATTGTTCAAATTGCCTTCAACAACTCCAACGGCCTAAAACGTGGACTTCAAACCTCCTGAGATTTAAATTCAAGTCTTTCTTA